TTCTGTGACTTAGCAGCTTCGCAGTTAATTACTCAGACACTCTTGGCTTTTAAACAAGAACACCTCATTTTGGTTTCATATCCGTGTGGAAGAGCTGGTCTCACCTTCTAGTTGCTTCTTTTGTGCTTTGCTTTGCAAAGCAAGCATTTCCTACCAATCCGTCCAGAAAATCATGGCTTAGCTGTTTCATAAACAATCTATGATTTGATGAGCTTCTGCAGCTCTATATAACAAGTAGACTCGGTTCTCTTGGATTCGTTGAAAAGGGTCACCGAAAATGAAAAAGGGGAAGTGAGAGGGTCATTCCAAGGGAGGTTACAAGCCAGGTCAATATAATAGAGCAGGACATTACCTCTATAGCTTTTGATCTGGACATGAGTTACCTTTAACCCAGCATACAGGACGCAAAGGAAGGATGGGAAAGTCCACTGCTTGCCACAAGTGCAGACTGCTGGGATTCTTCCCTGTGAAGTTACTATTTTTGCCATTTAAAATATGAAGACATTTACTCTGGGGGAAATCTTTGAGGCTATACAAATTTCCAGTTCCTCCTCAAGCTTTCACCCACTAATTTGAGGATTTTATTACCCTATCAAATATCACCTGGGTATTCTAATGGTGTTTTCCTCTTCATTTTTTTTCCTACATTTTTAAAAACTGGAATTCCCCTGTAAGGAAGACTTGTCCCCTTCTCCTTATTTCCTTATTGTTATTTGGTTATATCTGTTTTGGACTCAAAAATACTAATTTTATACTTCGTGTTATACTCCAATACTATTGCCATTATTTTGTTGGTTGAAGTGCTCCAGCGTTGGCCTTTGGGAGCCCTTTTGGTGTGTCCCATCATTTTTTCTTCAATACATCTTTATTTTCTGGCACTGTGAGATTTTAAAGTTTCTCCGTAAAGCTCCTCAGAAGTACTACACAATATCTAAGTCACTCAGCATATAATTTATTTTAATGTAAAGATATTAAAAGTTATCAAAGCAAAGTATTACTCATTACATGTAAATTGCATGTGTCAAGTCCAAGTATTTGGAGAGAGCAAGTGTGACAAGCTATAAGTGCCACAGAGGCAAAGGCTGAAGCACCTTCAATTTTTATCTGAAATGTTGCTACCACCGAGCAACACAGTAGCTCCCTTTTTTTTTTGTCTTTTTGAGACAGGGTCTCGATGTGTAGTTCAGGCTGATCTTGAGCTCACTTTGTAGCCTAGGCTGGGCTCGAACTTGCAACAATCCTCCTGCCTCAGCCTCCCAAGTGCTGGGATTACAGGCGTGAGCCACCACACCTGGCTAACACAGTGATGCCTTTTGAGTCATGTTCTATCATTTTAATTGTGATAACCCAGACACTTCCCATTTTCCCAATGTATTAACTACTCTGGTAGAAATGGGAGTTCAGTGGGACAAAGATGTAGTGTTAAATACAACTGTATTTCTCTAGAAATAGTCATGAAATGAATTCACATAATTTGAAATACCATATTAAAACATTGTGTTAAAAATACTCCAGTAGTGGACTCTGGAAAGCCAAGCCAGCACCTCCTCTCCCTGGTGAGCACAGGGAGGGTGGCAGACTGCCGCCCTTCTAGGGGGGGATTTAAAAAAAAAAAGAAGAAAAAGAAAAAAGAAGAAAAATGTTGTAGTTTGGCAAAACTGACGCCATCTTGAGCCCTGCATATAACTAGTGCCCTGTATTTGACTCCGGAGAATGGAAAGTTATGCAGGGTACAATCCCATGAGTAAAGCATGATGAACTATACCTACAAGAGAAAAATTAAGCTGCTCAAGAAAAGAAGCAGGATACAGGTGTCAATCGAAAATTAATGTAAGAGTCTAGCTAAATTGTTTCTAACAGGATGTCTTTTTTGTGATTCTCTTTTTTAAAAACTCTGTGTAACTTTCCAATTCAGGGCCACTCAGTGAGGCTCTAAAACAGGGGTCCACAAAGAGTGGACGCTGAGCTCAGCTCATTAAGTTCCAAATTTATCAAAAAAAAAAAAAATACTCCCTCCCTTACTGGGAGGCAGGATGTGGAATTGCAAATTTATTCATGTCAGCAGCTGGATTGAAGTCTTCCCCAGTGCTGGTCAGCAAAAGTTTCTCAAAGGAAAAATGAAAAGACAATAGGAACAATTCAGAAGAACTAAACAATATGTGTAAGAAGGCATTTTCCCTTGTAAATTTCAAGAAACAATGAAAAAATCTATAGTGTTTTGAATGTAATTGATACAGTTTAGGTTAGCTAAGGTATTAAAATCAGAGCATAGATCAGGAATTTTGGGGGGAGTACTGGGGATTGAACTCACGACCTTGTGCCTGCCAGGCAGGCATTTGGGCCATTGAGCTAAACCCCCGGCCCTAGATGAGGAATTTTTTAAAAAAATGTCTTGCCATAAGTCTTTCTTTCAGCATGGGGATTGAACCTAGGGACTTGCTCATCCCTAGCCCTTCTTTTGTGATAAAAGAATGACAAATTTATCCTTTCAGGAAGAATACTCAGAAGAAGGAGTAGGGATCAGTACTTTGGATCAAGATGGAAAAGATAGGGCTGTAGGGCTGGTGGTGTAATTCAGTGGTAGAATGCTTTCCTAGCATGCATGAGATCCTGGGTGCCATCCCAGCACACAAAAAAAAAAAAAAAAAAAAAAAAAAAAAAAAAAAAAGAAAAGAAAAAAAAAGAAAAAAGATGATGATGACAACAAAACAACAACAGAAAAAGTAGACCGAAAAAGTTCAAGTGAACATTTGGCAAAACAATACAATGAGAAAAATGTGTTCCTCACATAGGACAGAGATGGATAAGATTAAACAGGACAACCGGCTGATTTTTAAGCCCTGCCAACTTTTGCTGCCAATGTTAGTTCTGCTCTCTTCCAATGTCCAGGTGAATTCAGCTGTGTTCAGTGACTTTTGACTCACTGTTCTGAGAATGCATGGGGCAGCCAGCCAAGAAGCTTCAGCATTCCAGCTGCATGCCATTGAAAATCTAGCTGAGCCATTTCCATGTTGAAACACACCAATTACTTTCAGGGGCCTGTCTCTTCGGAAGAGAATTAGGATGATCCAGTGACCCAAGACTTAACTATGAGAACCACCTCTGGAATTGAACAGATTTCAGACCAGTTCTTCTACATGTGGTTCAGTGGGCAAGAGTTCTGGTGACAGTGGGTTTAGCCAGGCTCTGTGGGTTTCTGTGTTTGCCAACTGTCAGACTGTATCATGTGGCTGCATTGTCTCGATTAGACCATGATATGCCAAGACTCATAATGAGTGAGGCACCACGATACATGCAGCAGGTATAATTGAGTATTCATCCCTGCTTTCAACACTTCAGATTCTTAATCTCCAGGTTCTTTAATTCATTCCTTCAGAGTCTGACATTGATGCCACCACTACTTTAATCTCAGCAGCAGCCGTGTGAATAAGCCTTCTGACTCCACCTCATTCTCATTTAGATCACTCTGACACATATGAACAGTATTTAGAAAGATGCTGTCACTGATCTCTTGCTGGTAAGATCTTGGCTCAGGATTTTTAAAGCTAATTAAACAGTTATAAGAATGTCTTTCTGTGGAAATTCCAGGATGTGGCCAATTTATGAGTTGCTCCATCATCATAGGTGAGGTATGAAGACAGTTGTCCATTAGATAGGGGATCAGCTTTTATTTGTCCCCTTTGGGTCAGTCCACTAACCCTTTGCCTCCTCTATTTTCAGGGGCCAATAGTCTAATTTCTCTATTGTCTTACTTTCACCCAGACTGAACGGCTCCCATCTAGTTCACTATTTCTTCCCACCACCAGATGGTGGAAAGCGAAAAGGAAACAACAGGCTGGCAAATCAGTGTGGGAGCAGCAGAGTATCTATGGTTGAAAGGTGTGGTGGAGAATGAACCCAGAAGGGCGCTTGTGGATTGCTAGAAAATTCCGACGAATTCCTTATTTTCATTTTAGTGCAGACTAAACGGTTGGCTGTCCAGGTCTGAGCATGAACACGGCACGCCAATGCCTGTCGGGGTGGGAACCAGCCCTGGTCTCAATAGATTCCCGAGACCATCGGAGCCTTGGAACACTCCCAAGCGAGCGAAGCCCACCTTTCCAGGCGGTCGTACCGAGTCGGGAGGCCCCTGTGAGTGAAAGGCGGTGGCAGCCCACAGGCCGGCTGCGCCCTTCTCTTTCCCCGTCCCCGTCTCCGTCCCACCGCCTCCTCCGTGCAGACCTCGCGCCTGGCCTGCTTGCGTTCCCCGGCGGCACCGCAGGGACCTTTCTCCCGGTGCCCTCAGCCTCGTTCTGCAGCCCCTCCAGCGCCTAGGGGTCACCTGTCAGAACTCTCCGCAGGTGTTCCGCCTTTCGCCCGCCCAGGTTCTCTCCTCCGCCCCTCCTCCGTTCTCCATCTCTTCCCGCCCCCTCCCGGTCCGCCCCCTGCTCCTTTTCCACGTGCCCCTCAACTTCGACGCCCCCTCCCCCACGGACCCCATCTCCTCAGGTCTCGAGGAGTCTCGCGGCATTTCCCGGGGCGTTAGCCCAGCAGCCGCGGGCAGGGGGCGACTGCTGGAAACCGGGGCCAGACCGAGTCGGCTTCGAGGAGGGCGCCTCAGCCTCTGGACGCCCCCAGTAGCCCGGCCAGCCGCGGCCAGAGCCCCGCCCCTTCTCAGCCCCGCCCCCTCCAGCCCCGCCCCTGCCCCCGCGGCCGCGCGTTCCCTGCAGGCGGAGCCGCAGGAGCATCGCGGCGGCTGCGGCGGCGGCGACGAGGAGGGGGAGGAGGGGAGAGCGGGCGGCGGGGCCGCGCTGCCGGGCGCTGGGTTGGGCGGCGCTTTTTTTTTTTTTTTTTTTTGCAATTTCCACTCGCGGGGAGCAGGAAACCCGGCGCAGCCGGGCGCAGCGGGCCGCGATGCAGCAGCAGCAGCAGCAGCAGCAACAGCAGCAGCAGCAGGAGTCGCCCCGGGGCAGCAGCAGCAGCAACAGCAGAGGCAGCAGCGGGGGGCGCTGAGCCGCCACCGCTTACTGAGAAAGAAGCCGGCCCAGCCGCCGCCGCTCCCCGACGCCCGCTCCCCAAACCCCGCGCCTAGATTCCGGCGCTCCGACCCCCACGCCCGCCTCCGCCAACTTTCACGCTGCCTCAGCGGCCCGGCCCGGCTTGGCGCCAATGGGTGAGTGGGGTCCGCCGGGGTCCCAGAGTCCATCTCAGCCTGGGGGCGGCGCGCCCATTCCGGGACCTCGAATCTGGGAAGGGCGATCCGGGACAGGGCCAGGGCAGGTGACGTCCTCGATAGGCGTCCTCGCCTGCCTCGCGCACCCCTATGCACTCCCACTTGCGCCCATGTTCGTGCCGAGCCCGCGCGCGGCGCGGACGGGAACCCGCTGGGGCCTGGGCAGAGGATCGCGGGGGCTGGTCCGGGGCGGTTTGGGCTAAGGGATGTAGGGGGGTGTGGTTGGCTTTTCGGGTGGGCGGGGAGAGTTTGGTTTTGGGCTATTTTTTTCGCCCAAGCGCACCTTCTGCGCTGCAGACGTTGGTACCCGGACCTGGTGGGCTCTGGCCCTGCGCGGGGCTTGTGGTGCCGGTCTGATCCTGCCTCGGGGAAACCTGGAATCTCGCGGTTTCCAGTAGGCTGGGTTGCCTTTCCTGGGGGTTGACGAGGGTGAAGGGGGTGGGAAACGCCCCAGTAGCAGGCCTGGTGCGCCCCTTGCTCCCGGCCCTGACTCCCTGTCTGCTTGTCTTCCTCCAACCTGGCCAGCTTTCTGCACCGTGATGCTCAAAGGCCAATTCCCCCAGCCTCCTCTAAGTCTACAGGGTCCAGGAGCTGGAAATGATGATTCAGTCCTTGATTTACAGAGGAGCAAACATATTCCAAGTAGACAGTTAGTATTAGGCTGCATGGGTCCCACTTGGTATAGACCTAGTAGTATGGGAATCACCTCACTGCCCAGGGGAGCTGGCACTTTATTAGAAAAAGGACTTGAGATTGCCTTGGTTATTAAACGTTTAGTCTCTCCAGGCAATATTCTTGCTGAGAGGCAACCTCTTTTGTAATATTTTTGGGTGTTTCTAGGCCAGGCATGGGAAGCCTGCACATTGTAATAAATCATAATAAAGTGAGACATTTTTGTGTTGAGGTAATAGGGTTTGGCTACACCAGTCAGGCAGTGATAAGCAGTCATAAGGTGCTCATGAAGGCAGAGACACTGGAAGGGGAGGTTTTATCCAGTCTGTTGTTCAGAGGCAAAAGTTAAAATCCTGTTTGTGGACATTTGCTGAAATGGTTTTCCATATCCAAAGTGATGGTGATCTGATGGTTTCTCAGCTTAAATGTATTTTTCCCCTTCAGTGTTCTTGTCTGATCCTTGAACCACTGCTAGTCTAAATTAGTTTGTTACCCTTTCTCATATGGTAATTTTTCTTCTTTTTAATAGCAGTGTTACATATTAGAGTTTATCATTTATCTTCTCTACTGGAAACTCATTGTGTGGCTAGAAGGACAGCACTTTGTTGCATGGTTTTGCTCAGAACTGTTTTCTTTGGTGTCTGGCATAGATCAAGCCTTAAATAAATCTGTATTGAATGAATGAATGGGCCATATCAAATCCTCCTACTCCATGCAAGATACAGAACTTACACTCTTGTTTTGCTTTGGGCTCTGAAAAGATGATTTAGTTCATTTACAGAAGTGTGTACTTTAAAACTTAGAGATCACTTTGGTATATGCTTTCTCCTAAGATAATCAGAGATGCTCTTTCATTTCAAGTGGATCGCTGAGGGGTTCCACACGCAGATGTGAAATCCAAATGTCTGCTCCCTGTGGCCACTGAGTCTCCTTTGAGAAGAAACAGACCTGTTTATCATTCAGATCTGAACTGTTTTCATTCTTGAGAACCCCCTAAGAAAATAGGAGAGTGCTTCTATGGTTTGTAGCCCTTTGAAGCATCTTGAGTATGTAACCAGTACCACGAGTAGAGGGTGATAGTTGAATTTCATTTATTACAGAACTTAATACTTAGGGGTATAAAGATTAAAATGAGTTTTAATTATGACATTTATAGTAGGATTGAAGATACTTGCTGTGAGTTGTGCATAAAGATCACCTGCTCTTTTCTAAAGATCCTCAGTAGTGAATTTATGAAGTGTAGGTATTAATAGTTGGTTTTGTAAGTCTTCCTATGCAGGCACACCCCCTTCCACTGAGTCTGCTTGGTAGATTTATCCATGTTACCAATCTGATACACATGTTCTCTTCCCTGGCCTGATAATGATTTTTCTGTTGATGGATAACACAATAAAACCGTATCATATAGTCTTTGATTTGAGAAATACCTGAGAAGCATCAATTCCCTAACCCTGAAATGTAGCTGCTTAGTTGCAAAATGGCCTCTTACAAAAACCCATCAGAAGTGCCCTCTGAACTTGCTGGGAGATGCCTACAGTGCCAGACACAGGGAAAGCCTCTTATAATTACAGTTGTACAAATATTATGACGCAAATCTAGGAGTAGTAAAAGGTTTGCAAACACAGCAAATGACCTCTGTTTAAAGAATTGCAGAGTAACAGCAAAGTTTGGATTTTTTAAAGCAGTGTTTTGTATCAGTAGTAGACTGCCTTATGCTAAGCTAAAGCCAAAATGAATGTAATGTGTTGGTTCCCAGAAACAGGTCTTGAATTAGAAATGGAGGAAAGGCTCCCATCTTCATTGTGCATGACCTTTACCCTCTTTTATCCATAATGTCATAAGCAAAACCTTACTGTCATTCTGATTGCACCGACCCTGGTGGTTTTTTTTTCTCTAATCACTTGAGTACTTCTTGCATTACTGACATTCCTTCGTCAATATCTATATGTATGATTGCTTTAAAGTATGTTGCACACAGTGGCAGTATTTATGCATTTATCTGTCCAGTATTTATTGACCTTTCTCTTTGTGCTAGAAACAAATGCACAATGCATACAGACCTGCCAGCTTGGGTTTTTCAGTCTAGTGAAAGGCTTGAAATGTAGTGGGTGTACTAGTCACTTTGCCTATCACTGGGACAAAATGCCAGACGCCCACAACTTAAAAGAAGAAGTTTATTTTGGCTAATGGTTTCAGTCAGTGGTTGGCTGATCTAAAGCAGAAACAGGATGGCAGAAGGGCATAGCAGATGTAAAGGTGCTCAATGCTTGGCAGCCAGGAAGCAGAATGACTGAAGGAGGGACAAGAACATGCCTTTCCAGATCTCGCCTGGGTGACTGCCTCCAACTAGGTCCTGTCCTCTAACAGCGCATCAGCTAAGTGCTGAACTCATTATTGGATGAGTCCTCTGATGAGTATAGCACCCCCATGATCCAGTCATCTTCCAAACACATGAGACATTTAGGGGACATTTCAACTGTAACAAATGGTCGTGGCAATGTGTAACTAAAAGCTGTGACAGGTCTCCTGAAAGAAGAGCAGAGAGCGGGGAATCTGGTTTAGGCTGGAGAGCAGTAAGGAGAGTATCTTTGAGGAGAACGTGTTTGAGCAGAAATTTGAAGGTTGAAGTGTGAATTACCTCTCCAGCCACCCTCCTCTGCCCTGGGGTTAGCCAAGGGAACACCTGGGGCTAAGCAAGCTGTTTCCTTTTCCTTGCAGGAAGAATGGGTGCCATGGAGACTGAGGGGCACGCAAGAGGGTGTGAGAAAGGCTGACTCAGAGAGTTTGCACCTGTGTCAGGTGGCGGGGCTGGAGCGTGCTTATGAGAGCCAGGTGTTGCTATGGATTAGCTGCTACCAGGGGTACTTTTGTGATTTTCTTTTAAACAAATAGTCTGGAAGTGGCGAAAATTGGAGCCAGGCTTAAGCTGGGGTTGGTAGCTAAATAGAAGTTACTGTACTTTTTCTTTTAGTTTTTGGAGACAGGGTCTCTATGTAGTTAGTTCAGGCTGGCCTCGAACTCACTATGACGCCCAGGCTGGCCTTGAACTCACATTGATCCCCCTGCCTCAGCCTCTCGAGTGTTGGGATTACAGGTGTGCACCACCACGCCCAGCTTTAGCAGCACTTACTTGTTTTAGGTGGGATTGGAGATGACCAGTCACATTCGTGGTTTGGACAAAGCTCATGTTTTATCTGTTTTCAGATATGATTATGGCTTGACTTGTTTGTGTTTTGTTCCAACCTAGTCAAAGAGTGGTCTTCTTACCTAACACTGGTGTTCTGAGGAATTGTTTGTGTTTGGTAGCATACCCAGGATGGGTTATCAGTCCTGGATGCAGAACCACTTTCCTTTTTCTCCAGGTTCACTAAAAGATGAGGTAGGATGGCACATGGAAGCTCATAGGTGAGGAGACTGGCTTTCTAGTTACGTTCTATGGTTATTTAACATCAGTCTATGGGAACCTTTATTCCCTGTTAGGCATATGGATAACTGAAAAGCTATACCAGGGAAAAGATACAGAATAATGCAGAGCAAAATGCTGAGAACTAAGAAGTCAGGCTCATCATGGGAAAGAAGTGATGGAGGAAAATACTAGACTCCTTTTAGTGTTAGAGAAGGAGACTCCCTAAGACAGTAGTTTTCAGAGTGCGGTTCCCCTGGTATACCTTTAAAGATACAAAGTCTTGCAGGGGCATGGTGGCACATGCCTGTAATTCCAACACTGGGAGGCTGAGGCAGGAGGATCCTCGTGAGTTCCAGACCAGCCTGGGCTACAGAGTGAGTTCAAGGCCAGCCTGAACTGCATAGTGAGACCGTTTCTCAAAAAAAAAAAAAAAAATGCAAAGTCTCTGGCCCCATCCCAGCATTGATCAGGAACTGGGGGAGGGGGTCAGCAATCTGCATTTTTCATGAGCCCTCTGTTAGGTAAATGGTGACAAGCCAGTAAAGAGCACAACCAGCATGAATTTGGGGTTCAGGGTGGGACCTCCTGGAGTAACCCCAAAGGAGATTCTGAGTCTATTTTATTGAGCTGGGTCTTTTATGGATAAGGTAGGGGGTTGAGCAGGATGGGCTGAGGTGTGGTGATGGGCACGAGATTGGGGGCATGGGAAAGGCTGAGTATGCAGCTATAGCAAGGGGTGCTGTGATCCTAGCAGTCAGCTTTGTTCCCAGGCTGGGGGGCATGGCAGCAGGATGTAGAAAGGGGCTGTGGTTGTTCTCAGAGCTCAGGAACTCAGCCGCAGAGGGGGCACACAGCGGTCAGG